GGCAACGTATCGAGATGCGCATCGCATCGGCCTCAGTGATGGAGATGCACATCCCTAACGTGCACGTGTCTCTTGTGCACTTTGACTATCAGCTAAACACCTTCCACCATCAAGGACTAGAGACCGTAGATGTTGTTTCATCGCTTTTAATCATGAACAAAGGGTGAAACTAGGAAATAAACACAATACAAGAAGTACATAAATATGCGGAAGAATATTTACACACATTATACGTTGAATCAACACCAAAGAACACACACGTGGCTGTAGCACAAAATTATGGCTGTAGCTAACGGTAGTTCTACAGAGGAGTTTACAACACACATTAACTATCATCTCAAAACTATTCTCTATAAACATATTCATTGGAAATGAAAAAACACTACGTTTATATCAATTGTACGTACCAATAATGCGACCAAAAGCACGGAACGTCAAGGATTAGGGCAGATTGTAGTCACCAAAAAAACATGTCGCTGTCCTGTTCACATGCAGCTTCCTTATGCACTAGGTCACATGGTACCAATGGTACATATTTTACACATTACGACAGCCAGCAGGGGGAGACAAATCCAACAAATGAACAACAATGTCCTGATGAGGACAGAACAATGGAGTTTGTCCTTTTTCCATTTTCTCTCTGCACGCCTGCAGGTGCATCTGAGAGCATGAGTACAGTCATTGAGCCACGGCTCAAGAGAACTTTGGTGCGTCTAAGCGTAAAAGGAGCAACGGAATCCAGTATTAGCGTACATTTCGAGTCAAACATGGAGATCAGCTCATCCCCACTAAGAGAACAGTTCACCTCTAATTTACAGATCGGAGAAGCATTAAAAACATCAGAAAACTGTGAGGCAGTCAAGGGGTTAATCAAACGAAGACGACGTGCAGGGGCACGTGATTCGACTCCTGCGGAAGGGATCGAGGTTGTAAACAGAACCGGTAAATGGTCTGAGATACGCGTTGCTGCACAGATTTCATCCACAGAGACAGACAGTCCAAACGATAATACTAAGTCCAAAGTGTGTCCTTTTTCGTGTGTTGGGCCAGCCACGGACTGAACGAGACCAAAATAATCAAGGAGATTTAAAAAGTCCCTAATATGTAAAAAATAGGTTTTCTGTAGAAACATTAGCGAAAACAAATTACGTATGATGGTTGTGGTATATTCATTTTAATGTCACCTGATATATAGAATGTGTGTTTAAACACACTGAACAAGTCTATTTTTTCCTCTCAAATATAGAGAGGTTTTTTATATATACTCTTAAAACAAATGTCCCATTTTTAGTATAACCTGGGACTTCTGCCTTGAGTGAAAAGATTACCCTTGAGTATTCTTGAGAAAGTCCTGTTGCAATTTCCAGATATTAAAAGAGGCCCCTTGAGTCTCTCTGTTAATTATCAATAGACTGTGCAATTAACAGTGGAATTCCCAGATACATTTTCCTCAGATTATGCAGTTAAAATGTTTTAGGGCTGTTGCAGCAGCTAGAGGGGATTGCTGCTCAAACTATAACTGTGTGTGTTTTATTTGATTTCTTTGTTTTTATTATTTCATGTGTGGGTACTAAATTGCGACAACATTGTGGAGTTGTTAGCTTAAACAATGTTTAAAATTACTGTATGAAATAGGGGCAGTTTGCAGGACATACAGTAGATACAGAGAGGGGGGAGAGGAGACATTCTCATTTAGACACGGCTCGAATCTCTGGAATGTGGCAGGACAAAATGAGTGTGTGTTCTCTATAATGGGCCTGTGTAAAGTTTAACTATTTGAAAAGCACTAGTAGGACTGCTTGAGAGCAAAGGTAATGTTTTCCTCATTATTATTTGATATTAAGGTAACTCACATGTGATATTTGTATAATCCAACTATAAACAACTATATCGTAAAAGATGCCAAGAGTATGTGAAAGCGAAATGTGCTTTAACAACTGATGGGGGAGGATAGGAGAAACTCATGCAAGGAATACAAGACGAACGGACACCAGATGTGTTTGTCTTGTCTCAAAACTAAGGGACTCTTGTTTTCCGGGTCTCCTGGCTGGCTCGTGCTGATTGGCTACGGCACGCCATCGTGTTTGTCTCTTCCAATGGGTGACCACTCTGGGGGGAGCATCCACACACCTCCTCCTGTGTTTTTTTGTATGAAAGTTTGTTTTCTCTAGTTCGCTCTCTTTTTTCTTCAGGCTGACCAGACAGTAAGATAAGAAGAAAGAGCAGGAAGTACTTCCTTTGTATTGTATTGTGTTGTTACCTGTTATCATTAAAGCAGATTATTGTTTAACTTGTATCCTGGTGTTCCTTAATCCCTTCTTTTAATGATTTTACCCAGCTCACCAATGACACGCGGAGCTGAGGTGGGTGTTAGAACCTCAGACTCAACATGGTGCCAGAGTAGGAGGGGACTTCACACAGCCGGCCGAATGCCTGATTGGAAGGTCGTGTGTAAGAGAGTCTGCGCCCTCCAAGAGACCAAGTCTAAACCATGGTATTCTTCAGCTAGCGACCCATCCTAAATGGTATGGCAACGCCTGTTTTAATAAAAATGTGTGGTGCACGAGGTTCGAGGCCTTTTTCCGGAATAGTGGTGCATATTCACTGCTCGCCTATTATTCTATGGACGTGACGGAGTCTTGGCCAAAGTGAATATAATAATAGTTATATGTTGCTCCTCTAATAAATAGTTAAACTTAGAAGGTTGTCTGTCTTTTCCGGAATGTGAACACAACATGAAGGATTATTTGAATATTTTGAAGTATTAAAGTAACGGGTAATGGCAGGAAAAGTTAAATCGGTATATTCATTTTAATGCACCTATATATATATTGCATGTGTGTAAATTTGAAGGGACAAAGTATATTTTCCTCCCAATATATTGAGGTGAAGTCTTTGTGTTAGAAAAGGAGGAGCCAGGGGACATCTAATTGGGGATAGCTCCAAGACTCTGGTAATGTTTCCCTCATTAAAGAGTGGTGCGTTGACACATGCGGCAAATAGAGGTGGTTTTCATTGCAGTAAAAATATATGTGCTACAGATTACTGTTCAATATACCTCTGTTCTTATTCTTCATGTGCGGGTACCTAATGGCTACACAATTGTGGAGAAATAGTCTAAACATGTTTTATTACTCTACTCCCAAATGGAAGCAGCTTTTAGACAGGGACGAGAGAGCTGGGGGGAGGGACATTCTCCAGGGTTTCAGCATTGTCAATTATCAGGGAATCTACTTGTTTTCAATAGACGGGTGTGGTTGATTACTTGTATTAATAATAAACAGTATGTGTAAAGGGAGCTGGAAATATACAATGTGAAACCTTTTATATTGGAAGTAAAGAGTGTGAACAATAGCTCAACAAATGGAAGGGCGTAGGGACAAATTGAGTGTGTTCTCTTATATTAGGCCTGTGGAGTTTGACTATTTGAAGAGTCACTCTAATACTGTATAGAGCATTAGGTAATGTGTTCTTCGTTACTATGCATGGAAAGTGATTTACCTGTATACGTATAGTTAGCCAACTATAACAACTATATCTTAAAACATCACTTTTACTTGGTTGTGGTGCTCGAGGGGGGAAGATGGACTCAGGGACAAAGGGCCATACAAAGGGGATGTGTGTTGCGGCTGCAAGATGGGAAATTAGATAAGGAACTTGTTGTGTTTAGAGCGGTTCGTACCAGACACCAAGAGGTGTCGGTTTTCGTCAAACAAAAGGCCTTTGGTTCCGGGTTCTTCTGCTGGAGCACACTGATTGGGGGGCGAACAGGCCAGTTGGTCTCTCCAATAAGATGACTCTGGGGGAGAACGCCACACACCTCCTCCTGTGTTTTAGTATGAAAGCCTGTGTTTTCCTTTGGTGGGGCTCTGTTTTGACTTGCCTGCTGAGACCTGCCACCACGGTGTTAGAATCTGAGCCCGGGTACTCTGCAGAGTGCTTCCGTGATGCATTAGGAGATTGGTGATGTGATGTATTTGGTATGTTTACATTAAAGCACATTATTGTTTAACTTGTATTCTGGTGTTTCTAATCCCTCCCTTTAAGAATACCCGCTAATCCAACGCCGCGCGAGACGCGGTTGGTTTTAAACATCCTCAAATCTCCAACAAATGGTGACCGACGTTTCTAAGTGGTGTGTTTTAGGGAAGAGGC